ATATAGAGTTATTTTTTGTTGCGAGCAATTTCCACGTATCTTTACTGATGAAGTTAGGCACCAAATTACACTTACAGATGAGACACCTATTATATTATACTATTATAAAAACATGTATAGTAGATTCCCAGAAGTTCGTAAGCCTGAAGTAAGCGCACAAATCGACAAAATGTTAAAACAAGGTATCATTAGATGTTCAAAATCAGCGTCCAACTCGCCTATTTCGGCTAAGAAAATGGACAATTCTGGATACCGAAAATGAATAATTATAGCATATTACCGAAAACAAAATGAAAAAACCATAGATGATAGGTATCCCATTCCAAACTTCACAAATATATTAGATAAACTTGGCAGATCAAATTATTTTACCACATTGGATTCAGCATCAAGATATCAAATCGAAATGGAAGAAAACAGCTTTTTCAGCATGGAATGATCCTTATGAGTTTACTCGAATGGTGCAAAAGGCAAGAAAAAAAATTTTTTTTCATAGTACAAAGGAGTACATCACATGTTACTGCTTTTTAATTTACGACAATTAAAGACTGTCATTTATTTTATGCCTCGACAACAGTTATGATTCAAAACTACATTTAAACGACTCTATAAAGCCATCTAACGTCGCAATATTCATTCACTTTTATTGTGTCGTAATAATATTTATTTCAAAATTTTACCCAAGTACGGTAGTATAGTCCTCACTAGTTTGACAATACCTCGAGCTTGAAAATTTTTCTGTGCCCTACTGATACCGACCATCAGCAACCTTTTTATGACAACCCTCACGTATGATAATTATAGTCTTTGTACTAAAATTTGAAGTACTATACGACGTGTGATACTATATGTACAATAATAGCTATATGCGCGATAAGCTTGTTAATGAGCTTTTCTTACTTTCAGATGTTAAAATGAGAGCAATAATATCCAAATTATTCCGGCGACACTGAAATAACCGCTGAGTTTGTGAAACCACCTCTTGGACCCCAAAGCTCTGAAGCAGCATGTTTATCCATTTACGCAAACATATAGCCTACATCCGTCCAAAGTAATTCAAATTATAGCAACCCTTTTAGTGAAGTTCGGTGAGAACTCCGTGTGAAAGGAGTTTCATTAATCAAACATGAAATATACACATATATTCGGAATATTCGAAACGGGAACCGAAAGTTGTCATGATCAAATTAAGCCCCAGCTACACTCAGCCAGTCCTTACATTTGTAAATCCGCGTCGATTTCCGAATTAATTTGTCGCACTCCGCTTTACTTGACGTATCCGAATTTTCGTCACATCTCGGCCACTAATTCAATTTAGAACTATATTCTTCAACACACCGTATATCCCATGAAGTGCTTGATACAAAGATAAGGAGTGTCCGTAATTTATGCTAAAGATGTAGATATAGCAATGCGACATCATCTAAAAGCCTTCGCACACTGTTATAGTCCAAGTGTCATCCGTACTACGAGTAAAGTGTATTCAAGGCTCATTTATTCCCCGCCAAAACAAACGACGTTCACACTATACTATTAGTAAGCGGGTCATGAATGCCTGGGCAGACAGCGGCAAGCGAATAGGAACGGCGATCGAGTACTATATGTTTTTCTTATTGTATATCGAAGCAGCCGCGCAGGCAGAAGCCTAAATGCCGGAACACCGCGGCTGCTATGATGATCCCAAAGAAATTTTATTAATACGATTTTTGAAGGTTAATAGAACTGGGAAAAGCTTCCTCTTATAGATTGTTCCACAATCTCGCACCCTCGGGACAAAGGAGCGGTCGTATCGGCCGGTTCTGGATGTACTAAGTTCGACACGGTCAGGATGGGATGCCAAAGTTAGGCGGGTCTGTCTGGCAGGCACATCGCGCGACGGCATCATGGAATAGAGCTCTGAGGAGCAAAGCCCGTTGGTGTAACGGTAGAAAAGAGCTAGATCGCCGTCAGCCCGCCGGTGCGAAAGAGTCCCGAGGCTGTCTGTTAGAGAAGAGTCATCGATCAGTCGGACCGCCCTCCTCTGGATAGCATCGAGCATGGATAATGTAGTCGGGGCGGCAGCACCCCAAACGTGCGAGCAATACTCGAGGCTAGGCCTGATCTGGGCCTTATATAGAGTGAGTAGGTCATGCGGAGAAAAGTACTTCTTAGCTTACTTTTCCCAGCAGCTGCAGCTATTGACGAGATGTGTTCGTGCCAGATCAGGTCCTCGGTGATCAGAACTCCGACCAGCCGAAATGAATGGCTCTTTGGCAGAACTCGACCATCCATCGAAACCGGGTGAGCGCAGCGTCAAAGTACAGTACTGCGGTATTATGCCTGAATGTTACCTCCCGCATAGTGTAGGGAACCCTTTGAATTGACGGCACTTGGGCATTGGGGGGGTCCATGGTGGAGTTGGCAGCAAAGATCTTGGCCATCACTTCCGCCTTGACCTTTGAGTTGAATACAATATTTCCATCCTGACACGTAAGTGCTGGAAGGCTACTGTGTGAGAAGTTCTTTTCAATATGCTAGGCCAGCGTCCAGAAAGACCGACTGCCATTGCGCTGCGACATTACCCTGTGCCTAACTTTTATATCATGCTGGTTTTTGGCATTGCGAACCGCTGCTTTATATTTGTTTCTGGACTCAACGTCGGCTTGTCTGTTCTCTACAGTGGGGTTTTGAAAGAAGGTTCTGTGTGCCTTGATCTTCTGCTGGCGAGCAGCGTCACACGATTTGTTAAACCAGCCGTCGGACCCTGGTCTAGGCACTTTCACTGTATGAGGGATGTATTCCTCCACTATAGTTTTTCTAGATGTGTTTTGGACAAACTATATTATATTGGTCAATTAAATCTGGTTCAAAGACGCGTGCTTTAGTCAGAAATAATTTTTCAGTGGGCACTTGGGATTCCCGGTACCACCGATTCTTGAGTCATCGAATTTAGAGTTGGCCACAAGCAATACCTAGTATCTGTCACATGTCCGCTATATGGACTTGTGACCAAATTTGCTCTCTCGGGAATGTCATGAAAAGATATAGTGCCAAAAGTTAATTAAACACACGGGCATCTTTCAAGTGTTCGTCATGATTTTGAAGAAGATAAATGAAACATCTCTTGAACTGTATATCTGGGTGTATTAGAAAAAATGAGACTATGATTATGGAAATGGTCAAAGATGGAAAACTATTTAAACACGCATGTTTAAGCATGTGAGGTATTTTCACATTTTCAGTCTTTAGAGTAGTTTGTTCTACGTATTAAGATCTACAACATTTTTCTAAATGGTGGAGTGACATCTTTATCACCCGACCACTTGAGAAATTTTATATTAAAACTGCCTAACGCAATTAGATTGAAGTCCTAGTACAAATATATCTATCTATCTCCATAAGAACCATACAGATGCAGTGTGGTGATAGAGTCGAGAATACATCCAAAAAAGTTCCTATAAATATAGGTTCTAACGCACTCCATCGCCAGGATAAAGGATGTTATGAATGTCTACGCTACAGATAAGGCTGAATAAGGACAAATTATGATCATTGTTCAAATAACTCTTGTTAGTATAACTCTCCTAACACGCAATTTTCATCGTTAAACCCCACTGAGACGTATTTTCAAAATAGAACGAGTTGTAGTTTTATATAACGACCTTACATGTATATTCAAATTAAGGGTTTTCCAAATGGAGTAGTCTAACAAGATTTATAAACGGCGATTCGTGTAAAGTTGAATCCCGTATTTAAAAATGCAATAGATGTTCCAAAAGTCAACGGTGCAGAAGATACCTTTCTTTTCTCTTTTACCTCACTGGTAGATCCGCAGGCACGAAAATGTTTGTAAATATTCGCTATGATGTCAATACATGTACACAATTTAAGTCTACCTTTTAATTTACGCTAAAGGTATATTTTTTTCATCATCAAAATTAAAAGGTCAACACCCTATTATCTCAGTAAGGGGGCATTATAGAAAGCATGTTTATATGCACTTTTCGCGATACTTTTTTATCCATTTTACGTCCTAGAAACATTGACACGTTTTTCCGAATAACCCTGAACAAGGTATCTTGCATGATAAGTTGGATGACATGAGTAATGCCTGAAATGTAAATACATTCAAATAGGTAATTACAAACTTCTCAAAGTTTTAGTCGTGGAAACCTTTCTGGTGTACTCCGTTTTTAATTTCGAGTACCGTGTTTACTCAGTTATGCAAATCTACCTTTTTCGAGTTAACCATGTTGTACATCCCTTTTTTGTTAAGTTTGATGGGAGGTCTGAAAGGATTATCATTAATCAAACATAAAATATACATGTATTCGAAGCGGGAAACCGAAAACCTTAACGATCAAATTAAGGCGGTATGGCCTAATAGCTTTTGGCAGTCCGGGACGATTTGCAAGCGAATTCAGCACGCCTAGACCTAGTTCACACCAAGATTAACGAACATATATATTAGTTTTCAGTAAACTGTTCTTCTCTATCATTAGTAAAAACAAAATAAGTTAACCAAGTAGTTTTTATTAAAAATATGGAAGCTATCATATTTGGCTTTGTTATATCTGCAATATTCAACGATTAACAGAACATCCTAGATTAGTACCTTCCGCCGCTTAGCTGTTTTGAGACCTGTCCTCAGCAAAATATAGGTAGTTGTTGGATGACTTAAATGTTTACGTCAAAACTAAAATGCGCGTGCAGAAAGCCAGTTATTGAATAGGAGCAAGTACTCAGTAATAAAGTGATGTATGCTAATAAAGTCTTTACTAGACACCGCAAACAAGTCTATTCGACCAAAATGAATGAATGCTTCTCAAAGCTTTATCTCATCCTGTCCTGTATCGTATTGATAAGATATTATATTTATTCTAGCCTTTCTAGATTAACAAAATATGGTCACGTTTCTCTCTTATTATGTTTTTTTTTTTTTTATACTCCAGCTTCCACGAAGGCCTAAGGCCTAAGCACCCATTGGGTACCGTGGGGCTATGGGGGATACATGGGAAAGGGGGGACGCCACACGGACTATGGCGAGGGAACACGTGTGCATGCAACATGCACACATTCTGGCTCTGCCTACGAGAACCGCCGGGTGGTACCTCCGCGTTCGACAGTCAGAGACCATCTACCACCTACGGACAATCACAACATCCATGGCCAAGAGAAACATTTCTCCTGGGACGGGACTCGAACCCGCACAGCGCACGGCGGCTGATCAGGAGACCGAAGAGTCTACTACTGCGGTCACCGCTGCTGTCTAAAACAAAACACACAACATCCATGGCGAAGGCGAGATTCGAACTCGCGGCCCGGCCGGCCGGCTGATCAGTAGCACGACACTCTGACCCACGCGGCCAACCGAGGTCCCGCATCCCACATGTGGTATATATTATAGCTGCATGAGTTAAACTCCCTACGATATTACACGAGACATGGGTGTACTACTTATCTGTATAGAGGGTTAGTAACATAAGACATAGCAACAAGCCGCATCTAACTTGGAAGTTCTTGCATACTAATATACAGTGCTTTTCAAAAAGGTCTCCTCAAAAACCAATTTTGCCATGTTTTCAGTGACACACCTTCCACCAACAACTGTAATTGATGGTCCAAAAAATTAAAGGATTTTTAGAAAAAATATGTCCCAATAATTCTGCCTCCCAGTGTGCCACACGACACATTTAAACTGCAACGCTCTTCCTGAACTTTCCGCAAGCAATGCGGATTTTCTGTCGACCACTAGTGCATATTGTGCAGATTGACTCTCCCATCACTATTAAAGGTGGCTTCATAGTCCCAAAGAATTTGAAATAAAGATTCTCTATTTTCGCGTATCTTGCCTAATATCCAACGACAATAATAGTCCAACCTCCGATCAAAGTCTTCCTCTTTCAAGGCCTGATGCAAACCGACATGAGCTGGGTGCAATCTAACAGTAATTAAAAAAAATTAAATAGATCCCTATACTTTGATGGTCATTAGAACTTACCTTTGATTTCCTTCAATGTATAATGTATCCCAGTACGCGGTTAATATGTTCTTGTATCCTTCCAATCAGGGAAAAACTCTCACATCGCAAAGACGTCGATTTGGATATCGAGTCGCGTAAACTGTTTTTGATACTGCGACATTTAAAATAAACTGCAAGCATATCAACAGCTTCATCATTCGTAAAATGCGTTTGGTAAGCACAAAAATTGCTCAAAGTGATGCAAAACTATTGACAACAATTGACAGTTTCATGATTATTTATGTTTTGGTTAGGTATTTTTTTTTCCATGGCCTGCTTCTATTAAATGTCTTTTTCGTATATACCCATAGTGAATATGCATTTAAACAACAAAATATGCCTTTTGTTACGATTACTTCCTTAACGTTTAACGATATTTTATAATATTTTCAAAAAGGGTGGTTCCACAAATATTAGTTAAAAAAATAAAAATTTAAGGGATTTCCGTATAAAATCTTTTGCCTAAATTCTAGATTAGGAACAAGATATTGAGATGCGGTTTTCGCAAGCCTGCTTAGACATCATTTAGATACTTTTTCATAAAAGAAATCACACCAATGCATTTAATTTTTTTGAGAAAATCAGTCACATGTCGGAATCTCGAAGAAAGCCCTCTAGCGCCAACATGTGAAACTAACAAAACTTCAAATATTATAAAATCTGCACCCCAAGAATAGCTGTTTTCAACCAGCTCAAGTTTATTAAAATCGGCTGAGCCGTTTCGGAGATATGGCGTGTTTTTTATGGAAACCTTTAAATACCCTTACCACTTTATTTTCAGAGATACAACAAAAATTGTCAAACAAAAAAGTTCATATTATCCTCGACTTTGAAAATCAGGTATTTTTGTGTTAGGTTAATATAGCGGAATTCGCAGAAACATCTCTTTTTTTAGATTTAAGATTGCAGTTACGCCCCCTAGTGGCCATTTCAGAGACTTGAAAATATATTTCAGGTTTTTCTCTTGGCCGTTTTTGTAAGAACTTTTTTTGCCTCTAGCCTCTACGGTGGATATGTTCCCATATACAGTACCTCGCATTCTTAGGTAGCCATATTGAATCGGTCATAACTCAACAACTAACGATTAAAGCGTTGCAGTATGTTACATCAATCTTCATATTTTGGAAGGGTCGATCAGGATTTGCAATAAAATGTTGAATATTCAATTAAAAAACTGACAGACTTCTAACGGAGTGTTCCATATTTTGTTACGTATTTCAATAGATCTTTTTAGAAGCAGTAGATTGATATATCATATTATAGCGTCTTCATAATTGGTTGTTAAGTTATGCTCAATGTACAGAAATGCTAAACTGTGACACTCTGTTAATCCACCATTTTGAGAGATGGTAATTTCATACTTTAACAATATATTTACTATATATACTCAGTGATATTACAAGTGTTGCACTCAGAAAAAATAATATCTTCACCTTGATTTTTTGACAGTGAGGTAGTCTTACATCAAAAATGAAACGATAACATTCTCACAAAATTTTATTGACAACTAATAAGAAAAAAAATAAGCATTTTTTGGGCGACCCCGCAGCTGAAAACACTCCTGTATACGTCTAGGCATCGACAGTATGAGATGATCGATATCTGGTTGTGGCATCTCATTCCAAGCAACTTGAACATAACGCGCAGCAGTTGGCTTGAATAAAGTGAAGGGTGATCGGCTACCATAGGCAATAGCCCCCAAACCATCACTCTAACAGTCATGCGTAAAAGCCTGTCAACAGCAAATCCAATACCACGCCGTTCTCCACGGCGGCATCTTAACTTTCTACGACCATCGGGCGTACCTAGACAGAATCGGTATTCGTCGCTTAAGATGACATTATGCCATTCTGCCTCCCAATGTTGCCGTTTCCTGATCCAGTTCCAACGTTGACAACAGTGGTCCACAGCCAAAGGAATCACTAACCGTGGATGGTATGAAAATAGTTTAAAGGCTCGAATGCAGCGATAGAGTGTACGCATAGCAACAGGTCTGCCTTCTTCTCCAAACCATTGGTAAGCGTTCTGATGCGTAGTAGCAAAATAGTCTCGTAGGGCTAGTGTCTGAAGCATCTATCTTGACGCTCCCTGGTATGCCTTGGTGGACCGGTTGGCCTTTTTCGTGTTCCTTTACTTTCTTCTACCCACACACGACACACACGCATTACCGTCATTGCAGTACAATTAACGCGGCGACCAATTTCTCGATAGGACAAACGAACACCTCTACTCCTGTGAAAGTCGCTAACATGGTAATAATTTGGACGTCTCCAGGCATTTTGTTTTGCTTAATACTAGTAAACGAAAGAGCAATAACTAAAAATATATCGACTACTCAGCTCTCAGAAACTGCTTTCTTCACAAGAACTACGAGTAAGAGATAACATTTTAACAGAGGTAAACAAAAACAAAGATAAAACGTTGACATTGTTGCCACAGCAAGCTTTAAACATAGTCAGTATGTTGCCAAAAAACAAGTTGAAGAAGTTATCTTGCCTGGGTGTAACACTTCTAATGTCGCTGAGTATATTATTCATAGGAATCTTCGAAATCAATCAAAAGATTATTTCAAAATGGCGCGCTGCGGTTATCTTTGAATTTCCAACTGACACTTTCATTCTAAAATATAGTAAAAAAATACTGTGTTGGAACTTTGTGGAAAGCGCTACGTATACATTTGGCTGGTTTATGTATCGATGAGTAATTGGGATAACATCGCTTCAAAACTACTTTCTATATATAATGAAATATGTTTAAACTGGACCTTTCCTTGCTACGCTCATGTATTATGTGTGCATGTTATAATCAATTACTGACCAAACCCTTTCTCCCCTTTTATCGTTATGTTTGATTACATATATTTCACATTTTAACTGTAGATTAAAGTGGATGCGTGACTCTTAAATGGACCTTATCTTTGTTTAATTGAGCGATATATAATATGAAGAAGAAGATAATAGTCAGGTTGCAGAAAATGACAGTATATTTAACTTAGCTTATTAATAGCGAATCAACGTTGTACGACATTCTAGTGAAGCGGCCTCATAACAAATGGTCAAATGTCAGATGTATCCTTGTGTCCAATCACTTTTGATTATATGGGCTAAAATCACAATATTGTGTTATCATCTGTTGTGGTTCTTTGAACTTATATTGTCTATACAGTTTTTGTATTCAACGTTTCAATTGCTTCAATAATGATTAAGTGAAACAAACGGCCAGAATTTAATAACTTCTTAGACAATGTATAATGTTTCTCTTCATTTAGACCATGCTAGATCGCGCTTAATTTGCACTCGTACACCAAGAGCAGTCAACTGGGTACGGTTTTTTAAACAAGTCAGGGTGATCGTCAATAATATGGTAGAATGGTAAATTTCAAGCGGTCTTGCTTGCTGTATGATAATAGTACATTTTAGTCGTATGGCGAAGAAAGAAGGACGTTACCCCGGAGGCGCAGTCAGAAAAAAACGGGAAGTTTAGGACACAAGCTGCGATAAAGTTTAAGGTAAAACAGGAAATGGCTTTTTTACTATTATACCCTGATGCGGTGTAACTCATTCGAGGCCATTATTCGAAATATGGTTAAACTTTCACACTTACAAAAATTGTAAGTACAAAGTTGTGGGAATACTTAGAACCAAGGTTATGTTAAAAATCTTCATGTAGGTAATAATACAGAAACTACTCCAATACATTCATCCCCTTCACACATACATAGAGGTTGAATCACAAGTCATGACCAAAAATGAAACATCATACACCGGACCGCATTTTGAGGGGGTCTTCTAGGTAACATTTTTTACGGGGGCTTCTTAAAAAGATACAGGGTGTTGAAGTTTTAACATAAAAAACATTTTATTTAATATTTTCAAAACCGTCAACTCGAATGAAATAAAATTTGGTATGTGGATTTACCTAAGTATTGTCCACCTTCAAAAGTCCTTACTTAAAATGAACGTACAGCAGTTGCGGAAGTACAGTGGATCAGTGGCTTTATTGTTCCAAATAGAAATAGTACGCCACTGTTTTTTTTGTCGAAAAGCGCAATTTGTCGAATTTTATCTTCAATTTTCTACAAATTGCTCTTATGTTTTTTCCTGGAGTGCACTGTTTTCGAGA